TCTGCAGGTCCTTTTAAGGTGTCGTGTTCCGGTGACCAGTCTCGCCCAGGAAGAGAAGAGAGGTCGTAGGGCAGTATTTGTTTCCTTGACTGTAAGTGCACAGTGGGAAAAGGAGTCTGCACAACCGCATTAGGAAAAACAAAAACCTGGAGGCGGGTCCAAAACACTTTTAAAGATTAAGTCAGAGCTCGGCTACTTTGGTGTTCTCATCTAGCTCTTAGGTATTGGCATTCATTCAGACCGCCCACGTTGAATTTCGGCGTGGGAAATTTTACCCGCGTAGGAGCATGTGTCTGATTTTTTTTAAATATATATATTTAAATTTTAACCAGAAAGTAGTTGTAATTGTGTGAAAAGAAATAACACAGAGGAAAAAATATTAGATCGTAATTCTATCAAAAACATGCCACAAGACCTAAGCAAGAAAACTCGCTGAGCTTCAATTTCCTTTTTTTAAGATAAAGGTGGCATTAAGCTCTACCTATATGAAAATGCAGGGTGTCCACCTTAAAAATGAACCTTAATACTAAGAAATCCATCATGCCTTTTTAGGAAGAGCACCATATAACAATTCAGTTTATGTTAACCTTCTAGACAAGTTAGACACAGCTGAGTAGCTAAAGAAGCAGAGAAGCCAAGACAGGAAATGTTCTTTCCAGCTCTTTCTATATCACATTAAATGACCATGGATGGGCAGGTTATTTGATTTTCTGTTCAAGTTTGTCTTTCTTTGGTATCAAGGAGCTGTCAGAATTTCTTCTTCTTCTTCTTCTTCTTCTTCTTCTTCTTCTTCTTCTTCTTCTTTAATTCTCACGAGCCTGGAAAAATAAAGTCCTTTGAAAAGCTATTCTGTAAGATTCTGTAATATGGTAATGGTGGTGCTTAATTCGCTTACAATTCTAGTTAAAAAGTTAAAAAATAAACGTAGTAAAAATAACCATAACTAATAATCTGTTACCAGTTACACAACATAAAAATATATACAAACTATGCATCAATAACCTAAATTGTGAGGGGGAGAAGTAAAAATGTAGAGTTTAGGAATGTTATTGAAGTTAAACTTAAAATGGGTATAATTTTAATATACTTTATGTAAGCTTCATGGTAACCACAAGGGAAAAACCTGTAGTAATTACACAAAAGAACAGGATAAAGAAGTTAATGCATGCTGATACCAAAAGACATCAAAAACAAAAAAAAGACAGCAGGAGAAGAAACAAGAACACTGGATCTACAAAACAACTAGAAAACAATTAACAAAGTGGCAATAGTTAAGTCCTTACCTATTAATAATTACCTTGAACATAGATTAAATTCTCTAATCAAAAGATATAGAATGGCTGAGTGGATAAAAAATAAAGACCCACCAATATGCTGCCTATAACAGACTTACTTTAGATTTAAAGACATATATAGACTGAGGATAAAGTGGTGGAAAAAATATTTCAAGCAAATGGTTTAAAAAAAAGGCGTAGATATACTTATATCAGAAAAATAAACTTTAAACTAAAAATGGTAAATTTTATTAATCAAAAGTCTTTTTCAGGGTCAGATCCCAAACCAACCCATCTGAGCTTGATTTTTCAAAATGAGAGCTTCCTCCAAAAAGGCCACTCTGTAGGGTGAGTGGAATTTTCTGGAAAAGGGAGAAAGCTGATTCCAGGTGAAAAAAATGGTGGCCCAGAAGTAAATATGACTTAGCATCTTGTTGGAAGCAGAGGCCATCAAATGTGTGCATAGAATATTTTTCATTTAGATGGAATCTGTTAGAATCTACAGACGCGTGCGCGCACGCACGCACGCACACACACACACACACACACACACACACACACACACACACACAGTCCTGCCTCATTTCGATGGGTTTAGAGTGTATTTCCTTTCTCCAACCCTTCCTCTCCCTCCCTTCCTCCCTGTCTCCTTCTCTTCCTCCCTCCTCCTCCTTCTCTTCTTCCTTCTTTCTCTTTCATTAAAATAACAACAGAGTTTATTTTTAATTCCTGTTAGCATGGCGCATGTGTCGGATTTTTTAAAATAGATCTATTTAATTAAATATATATTTAATTAAAAGAATAACACCCAATGCAGTTTGTGTGTCCTGTGGAGAGGAAAAACTCAACAATAAACAGAA